GACAGGAGGGAGGAGGAGGGGGGGGGGGGAGGGCAAAACAGCTAATTATGTATTTTCACTAATGATGAGTTTGTTGTCGTTGGGGGTTACTTGTTTGTCTTGGGGGGGGGGGGGGGGGGTTGCCGAGTGCTTTATTTCGATTTATTTTGGTATCTTGTAATTTTTCTCATGATTCGCACTTTTGTTATGATTATCATTATTGATATTCCTGCTATTGTTACTACTACTACTACTGCTGCTGCTGCTGCTATTACTACTACTACTACTATTACTACCACTATTACTATTATTGCTACTGCTGCTATTGTTGCTATTGTAATTACTATTGTAATTGTTTTTGTTATCATCATTGCTATTTCAAACATTATTGTTGTGATTATTACTAGTAGTACTATCACTACTATTTTTTTAATCATCGTTAGTATTATTATTATTATTATTATCATTATCATTGTTGTTGTTATTATAACCACAATCCTTATTAGTTTATATATATAATTTTTATCCATATTTTCATTAAATATTATCCCGTTATCACCATCGATATATTTTATTGCATGATAACTTATAATTAAATTTCTCATCAGCGTCCTTTGATGAAAATCGTTAGTTTTGTTACAACTGTTAGTGTTATCTTTGATGTTATTTCATGATTCGTGTCATAATCATCATCACCGCCATCTTCATCTTCTTCTTTCTCTCGTCCTTCCTCTTCTATCTTTTTTTTTTTCTTCTCGTTCGCGGCCTCCCCTCTCTCATCATCATCTTTCTCTGTCTTTATTTCAGTCTTCATTCTATCATCCTTATCATTTTCATTATCACTATCATCATCATTGTCATCATCATTATCATTATCACCATCATCATCATCATCATCATCATCATCAGTGCCATCCCCATCATCATCATCACACCACCACCACCATCACCACCATCATCATCATTATTATCATCACCATCACCATCATCACCATCATAAACATATGTGCAGGAGCCCGCCTAAGTAACTACGGCCAAATGGTATTCGTTATTGGTATTTTGCTCATTATTAAACACCTAATTAGCCATTTAAAATACCGAAATATCCCACTCGCTGATTTGCAATTTTAAGCTGAAATAAATAGGTCTATTTCAGTTTTTACGTTCTCTCTCTGTCTCCCTATTTTTCTCTCTTTATATATTTCTCTATGTATTGATAACTTTCTCTCTCTCTCTATCTGTCTATCTATATCTCTTCTCTCTCTCTATCTATCTATCTATCTCTCTTTCTCTTCTCTCTCTTCTCTCTCTCTCTCTCTCTCTCTCTCTCTCTCTCTCTCTCTCTCTCTCTCTCTCTCTCTCTCTCTCTCTCTCTCTCTCTTCTCTTTCTCTTCTTTCTCTCTCTCTCTCTCTCTCTCTCTCTCTCTATCTATCTCTCACTCATATATGTATACATATATATAATATGTGTGTGTGTGTGCGTGCGTGCCTGCGTGTGTCTGCGCGCGTGTGTATGTGTGTGTATGTGTGTGTGCGTGCCTGCGTGTATGTGTGCGTGCCTGCGTGTGTATGTGTGTGTATGTGCACATTTATATATATTTACATATATATCAATTAAACACCAACATGCATTCGTTGATTATGAGGAAACTCACGCAGATCGCGATTCCCTGTAATTAATCAAAGAACTTTCACCTGATTACTTCACACGATGCATAATCCTGAAGACGTTTCTCCTTCGCTTCTAGATATTTTTTTATTTATTTGTTTTATTTATTGTATTCTATTCTCTTCGTTTGTGTTGATTTGGTTTATATATTTCTGTATCTTTTTGGGGAATTGGTTTGTGATAAGGAAAATGTTAATGTTTTTTTTTTAATCGTTTGTTGTTTCTTGATTCTTTTGAAATTTTGAAGTTAATAAAAGAAAGAAAAAATGATAATAATCGGTGATTTTTAAACATGTTTTGATAGTAATATTGACAATGGCAAAGAAAATTGGGATGATACATATTGGTAAAAAATATATAATAATGGTAATATTAATGATAATATTGATAATGATTATTTATATGATAGTAGTGATGATATTGATTTTAAGGATGATAACTTAAGGATGATTATAGTGATAATGATACCAATGTTAATGGTTATAGTAATAATGATAATAATGGTAATGATAACAATAAAAGTTAAATTATAGCAGTTTTAATGATAGTAATTGTGATCACAGTGATTGTAGTAATAATGATGAATATATGTTTATATATATATTTGTGAGTGTGTGTGTGTGTGTGTGTGTGTGTGTGTGTGTGTGTGTGTGTGTGTGTGTGTTGTGTCCGTATGCAAAGCTACTTTAGATTTCTCAGAAATACCAAAACTTCCCTGTTCTAATAACTCCATTCCTTATTAGCTACCCCCCCCCCCCTCATCTAGAACACACAACGAACTGAACAAAATAACAAAAAATACCTAAAAAACAGTTTACAAATAAACACGTTACGATAAAGATAATTAAGAATCATAACGATAATAACCATAATAGTAATATAAATGATAACAATACTGCAGATGCCACGAGAACTAGTACCAACAACGATAAAAACGGTAATAATAACAACAGCAATGATAAAAAGAGAAATAGAAGAAAAAGGAAGAAAAAGAGAAATAGAAGAAAAAGGAAGAAAAAGAGAAATAGAAGAAAAGGAAGAAAAAAGAGAAAGAAAAAGGAAGAAAAAAGAGAAATAGAAAAAAAAGGAAAGAAAAAAGAGAAATAGAAGAAAAAGAAGAAAAAGAGAAATGAAGAAAAAAAGAAATAGAAGAAAAAAGAAGAAAAAAGAGAGAAATAGAAGAAAAAAAAGAAATAGAAGAAAAAAGAGAAATAGAAGAAAAGAAGAAAAAGAAAAAGAAGAAAAAAGAGAAAAAAAAAGGAAGAAAAGAGAAAAAGGAAGAAAAAAAGAGAAATAGAAGAAAAAAGGAGAAAAAAAGAGGGATATATTACCTACTTAACAATAAGCCCGGAAAGCATTGCCGTCAGATCCAGACCCCATTAAAAGGAACCACGAAAGATTCATTACGGTGACTAAGTTACTAATTTCACCTAATTGATAATTTAATCCACAATCATCTATTTGGGGGGGGGGGGGAGGCTCGTTACCCCGTTTTGCATCGAGCTTCGTTAATCCACGTTGCAAGGGTTGAAATGTTGCATGGGTTGGCGAGCTGGGGGGGGGGGGGAAGTAGCCGGGAAGTTCGGTTAATCAGCTGGGCCATAAGGTACAAAATCGCTTGTTTTCGGTTAGCGTTCAAGACGGGGGGGGGGGGGGGGGGGACTTCCGGTGCGGAGGAGGGTGGAGGGGGGTGGGGGAAGGGGGGAAGGGGAAATAGAGGAAGAAGAGAGAAAGAGAAGGAAAAGAGGGGAAAAAAAGAAGGAAAAAAGAGGGGAAAAAAAGAAAGAAAAAAAAGAGAGGGAAAAAAAGTTTAAAAAGGAGAGAAAAAAAGAGAAAGAGGGTGAAGGGATAATAGAATAAGAAGGTAAAAAAGAATGGGAACAAAGGAGAAGAAGAGAAAATTAATAGAAGAAAATGTAGAAATAAGATATAAAAAAAACTTACGATAACTAGAAAAGATAAATAAAAAAGAAAAGAAAAAACAAAATAACAGAATAAAAGGGTAAATAGAGGGTAGGAAGGAAAAGAGGAAAATGGAAGAAAGGAAGAACGAAAGAAACAGAAAAAAATCAAAGTAGAAAAAAAAAACATAAAAAATATAACGCATATGAGTTGGATGTTGGAAGCAGAATGAGAAAAGTAAATAAAAGAAGAGAAAGTGAGAAGAAAATGAGAAAATGCAATAAAAGAGTAAATGGTCAAATAAAGAACAGAAAGAGGAAGGGGGGCGGGAGAATAAACAGGAAGAGAAATACGAAAGATAAGCGAAAAGAAAGAGACCAAGAACTAAAATGAAAGAAACGAGGAGATAGATAGAAAAAAAAATAAAGCTATAAAGAAAATAGAAAATACGGAATAAAATAGAGTAAAGAAGAGAAAGACGAATATTTATTTCTGGTCGCTATCGAAAGCCTTTATCTTAACCATATCTCTATATCCACGTCTTTTATAACGAAAAATTGTTATAGTGACGTTTTTCCTATATTTTTAAATGTATTTTTGCTTTTTATTTTTTACAGCGATGTTTTTCCTATATTTTTTAAATGCATTTTTGCTTTTTAAGGGACCTGTAAATTTTTTTTTTTTTAATTTATTTTCCATTTCGAAATGACGGGGACACGAGACATATCCAAAAAAATAATAAAAAAAAAAAAAATAAAGAAAAATATGATGATTATTTCCCATTCTTCAGGGTGTTTTACAAGAGGCGATTACCAGGTATGCACGCACATGTGCACGTCGGCCGAACACGTGTGCAGACATCCACTACGATGTACAAGTTGTCTGGTCATGATACTTTAAGCGCGGTCGCGAAGAGGAATAAAAGTTATCGATCTTGTCGTTTCGTTTTGATGTCTCGTTTTTTGGAATGAATTCCGCGTAAATGAGTACCTGTAGGAGGAGGGGGGGGAGGGGAGAGGGAGAGGGGCTCCTGGCGCATCAGGTGTCGAGTCGGAGCGGGTGTTGGCGTGAGGCTCTTGAAGGCGGAAAGAAGCTCGGAGAGAGAGGGCGAGGAGAGAGGGAGAAAGGGGAGGAGGAGGAGGAGGAGAGGAGAGAGAGAAAGGAGGAGGGAAGAGAGAGAGAAAGAAGATATATATAGAGAGAAAGGAGAAAGAAGAAGATAGAGAGAGAGAGAGAGAGAGGGGAGATATCTCTACCGCGCAGACTAAGAAAAAGAGAGAGAAAGGGGAAGATTTTGGGAAAAACCGACGAGAAATTAGGAAAGAGAGAAAAAAAAAAAAAACGCGAGAGAAGGGAGCCGCCGCGGCGCCCTAACTGGCCTCCTCCCGAGCCATCCGAAGGGCGCTTCCCGAGCGAGGTATTCAACGGAGCCGCTTTCTTCCTCCTACAGGTAGTCGGGAGATGTACAGCCCGGCGCGCCCCCTTGGTCCTCCCGCCACAGACCGCCGTCGTGTCGTCTCCCGGAGGAGGCGTCGCGCCCATGGAGGGCATACGGTACCCTCCTCCCACCGCCGCGCCGCCGCCGCCGCCGCCCGCCACTACGACCTGGCACAGCACGTCCTCTCCCAACACACAGCCGCCATGGCCAAGCTCCTCGGTAAGCACGACCTCGAGTCTCGCTGAATTTCCTTCTTTTTTTCCTTCACTCGAAATATTTTTTTCAAAGTAACATATTCCCTCGACGAATCTTGAGAGGCCTGAGTACCTTCCTCCATACGTGAATAAATACGAAGACAAAGAGTTCCAAGAACACAAGACAGCAATCCCTAACCACCCCCTTCCCCTCTCCCCCTCTTCCCCTTCCCCCTCCAGGCACCATCCGCCCCCCCGGCATGATCGGCGGCTCGAAGCCCAAGGTGGCGACCCCGCAGGTGGTCAACAAGATCGAGCAGTACAAGCGCGAGAACCCGACCATCTTCGCGTGGGAGATCCGCGAGAAGCTCATCTCGGAGAGCGTCTGCACCAACTCCACGGCGCCCTCCGTGTCCTCCATCAACAGGATCCTCAGGTAAGGGCAGAATCCATAGGTAAAGGGGAGAGAAATCTTAGATAAAGGGGAGAGAATCCGTAGGTAAAGGGGAGATAAATCTTAGATAAAGGAGAGGAGAATCTTAGATAAAGGAGATAAATCTTGGTTAAAGGGGAGAGAATCCTGGGTAAAAGGAGGAATAGAATCTTCAGATTAGAGGGGAGGATCCTCTATAGGGGAAATCCTAAGGTAGGCGGAGGGAATCCTAAGGTAAAGGGGAGAGAATCCTTAGGTAAAGGGGAGAGAATCCTTAGGAAAGAGCGGGTGGAATCCTTAGATATCGGGGAAATCCTAAGTAAGGGAGAAATCCTCGGGTAAGGGCGGAGTCCCTCGCGCCCGTTGCGTGCGTCGCGTGAGAGGCCGCGGCGCCGCGATCGCTGGCGAGATTGCGCGCCCGTGGAGCCGCTTGCGGGAAGGGTGGGAGGAGGGCGGCTGCGGGACAGCGCCCGTCGCCCCTGGTGCCCTCATGTCTTTATATCTGTGTGTGTGATGTATATATATATATATATATATATATAATATATATATATATTATATATATTATATATATATATATATATATATATATATATATATATGTGTGTGTGGGTGGGTGTGTGGGTGTGCATATGTAATAAATTGGGTAATTGTGAAATACAGTAGTGAACCTGAAGACCACTGACGCCAGGACACGCCCCTCACTGACGCCCTTCTCTCCCTCCTCCAGAAACCGCGCCGCCGAACGCGCCGCGGCGGACTTCGCGCGCGCCGCGGGATACGGCCTCTACAACCCGTACGCCGCGGCCGCCTCCATGCCGTGGGCCAACCCCGCCGCCGCCGCCGCCGCCGCCGCCGCCTCCTCGCCCATCTGGAGCGCCGCCGGAGTGCCGCACCCGGGCATCCCCTCGGCCGCCTACTCGCCCTCCGCCGCCGCCGCCCAGGCCGCCCTCGGCCTCCACCCCGCCCACGCCGACAAGCTCAGCCTCGCGCCCTCCGTGCAGCCCCACCTCGACCACAGACCAGGTACGCCGACCGCCGCGCGCCCTTCCTCCGACGCGCCCGCACGCCCGCCCGCCACGCCGCCGCTTCCCTCTGCAGCGGCTGCGGGTCAGCGAGGCGGTGCGGGCGGCGCCGAGGAGCTGGTCCGTTTTCCACTTCGTTGCTCTTTCTCTTCTGGAAATATCTCTTTGTTGCGAGAGGAATGAATGTTGATGCTGATTCTGCAGGCGGAGTGACCCCCTTGTGTGCGCCTCGCTCCTTCCGGAAGCGCTCTCTCTCTCTCTCTCTCTCTCTCTCTCTCTCTCCTCTCTCTCTCTCTCTCTTCCTTCTCTTTTCTTTCTTTCTTTCTTTCTTTCTTTCTTTCTTTCTCTTTCTCTCTCTCTCTCTCTCTCTCTCTCTCTCTCTCTCTCTCTCTCTCCCTCTTTCTCTCGCCTTCTCTCTCTCTCTCCTTCCTTCTCTTCCTCCGCCGTGCTCTCCCTCGGCTGCCGCCCCCCTCCTGACGCCGCCCTTCTCCCTCCCGCAGAGGACGTCGACTGCAGCGAGTCCCGAGGCGAAGGCTCCAGCAGCGACTGCGGCGACGACCGGCCGCCCACCGCCTCCTCCGCCCCTCCCACGCCAGCCTCGCCCACCTCCTCTTCCACGCCCGCGCCCACCAGCAAGAGCAAGATCAGCTTCAGCGTCGAGTCCCGACTCCTGGCCTCCCCGCCGCCCTCCTCCGCCCACCAGGGCCCCACGCCCGCGAGCCCAGCGCACCCCACGCCCACGAACCCCGGCCAGCCTAACCAGCCCACGCCCGAGGTCGGCCCCTTGGTCGCGCGGGCGGTGCCGGGCTGGCGCTACCCGCGGTACCACCCGTGGCTGCACAACCTCACCCGGTAGAGCC